TTCAATCTGAAATTCAGTAAAAACCAAGTCTAATCTTCACCAAAACCCCTCAAAATTGAGATATAAACTCCAAACCAAATTCCCGATTATTTTCAACAACACTCAATCCAAACAAATAATGATTTTTGAAAACCCAAATTTGAATTCAAAGCTTTCAAGCTTTTTAATGGCTGTCAATGGTGGAATTGCTGCTCTCTTTTCGTTTGCTTTGTATTACTGAAATTTGCGATTGAGAAATAGAGAGAGATGTAGAGAGAATTTATGGAAACAAAGTGTATCGCAAAAACAGAGTATAGAAAATCTTGTTCTGCGTTGTGGAAGATCAGAGTGAAGCCGACGATAATTATGGAATGTGCGTGATTTGCGTTGGGGAAGATCTGAAAAATATTTAATTCCCCTTTTTTAGCGCGCAAAATAAGGAATCATAAAGGTACAATGATTCCTTATTTAATGCATTGTATATATTAGGTAGAAATACTATTAGCATGAAGGGTAATAAGCAAACTATGAACGTATTTGGTAATATAGTTTCATATATGGTATATATACGAAAAAACCTCTTATTTTTTGGGGGTATTATCACTTTTAGCCCGCACCAACAACTATTTACAGCGGCTATATAGTGCCATTTTTCCTTATTTTTTTTAACTAGGCCCATTCCAAGTCTATAACTTGAGGATTAAATAGCCTAACATCATGTACGAGTACATTTTTAATCAAAAATCACCATAATGACGGGGTTTACCCATATATTAGCACCCAAATATAAAATACATTTGGGGGGTGGGGTGCGATGGGTACAAAAAATCGATCCTCGGCATAATCCAAGCTAGAATTAGACATGGCGCAATGCCGCAATCCCTTGCAATTTGTAGCTATGCCTTTCAGCATCTTAGAATTGGTGCTAATTACTTCTATGTTGGAGGAAAATGTTTCTTCCTTGGCTTTAAAACAATGAGCTTTTCAAAAAGAAAGTATTCCAGAGGTAGTGCAAGTATATTATACATGGAACTTGTGTTAGTGTGATCTAGCTCTGAAGTTTGGGTAATGTAACTTGTCCATCTTCAACATAGCTTTCACTTGTCTAGGCAAATCGAAAGCTTTGGTGAAGAAGATCCTTGACGACTTGACTCCAGTTGGCACGTAGCGTTCGTATAATAGAAAGAAAGATACTATCACTTGGCCTCTTTATTGGACCATCAGTACAAACACAGTGGTATTTAAACCAGGAATCAATTCGAATTTGGATTTGGACATGTCGGTGGTTTTTAATCATAGGGTGGTGTAAGTAGTATTTCACCCATAACCACAACTCACCCTGTGATTCTCTAACATCAGTTGGTCGAACCTTCACTTAATTTCACCCAAGCTTCTTAGTGGACATCACCCAGGTTGGGTCCATAACCGGTAGTAGGATTTTAAAAGCTATATGCTATTAAATTTCTATGAAGTTCTTCTTCTTTTTCTTTCGCGTTGTCCTTATCATATTTATTATTCACATTTAACGAACATACGGAACTAGTTGTACAATTAAACTTTGCAGTTATCTATATTTTAGGTCGTCACTGCCATTAATATTCCAAAAAGTAACAAAGAAAGAACAAACCAATTTAAGGAGTAATTTGTTTACAACTTTCGAATCATATCTTTTATGAAATACAAGAGTTTTGTGCAAACTTAAAATAATGAGTGTGTCCCGTGCCCTAATGCCCTTTTGCAAAATATTTCTCGGAAGAAAAAAATTAGGGTTTGGTTAAGATGGTACCACACCCACACAACAAGCTTGGGCCAATCAAAAAGTTTCACAGGAAAATAAAAAATTTAAAAATTAAATAACTTAGTTTACAGTCAATTATTTAAAAATATTTAAAGAATTTTCTCGTAACTTATAAGCTAGCTCCGTCCAAAGAAATGGCATCATATATGTGTCTCACTCTATATATATATATTCCCTTTTCCCAATACTGTTACCATCTCTATGAGCTTCCTATCCCTTCCTTTCCCATCTAATACTTCTCTTACTCTCTCACATAAAAACAGCTTAAAGAAATATGCAGATTATATATTCTTCCTGGAGATCTCTCTAGGATTGTTGTTAATTCCATTTTATCATGCAATTTTCCCCCCATTTCCCCGCTATTTTTCTACTTATTTGACAGAGTATTGAAATATGTTTCTATGAGGTTATTTAATTATATATTTTAATCCATTTCTTGGTGTACTAATTTAGCTTATCCTACATATGCTGGAACCTGTGGAAAAAATCATATCTAAAAACCCAAGAAGAAAGGAAGGAGAGGGGAAAAAAAGAATTTGGAGTCTTAATTTTTTTTTTTTTGGTTTTATCTGGTATTTATATTTGTTAATTTTCTCCCTACCAATCTTTTTGTGGAGCAAGAATTATTAACCTTCCAAAGATATAAGGTTTTTTTTATGTTTGATTTTTTCTTTTTGAAATTAATGAAATATCTGGTGGCCAAATGGTCCATGATTGTAGCTAGAGTTGTTACTCCATTGTTCCAAGATATGGATGTACTTAGATTTCCCCCCCTATAAATATGTCTATGTAAAGCATTTATAATAACCATTTTTAATGGTTGAACGATAGGGTTTCTGGTCCACTTGAAGACATCCATAAAATTGGACCGATATAGAGAAAATAGGGTTTCTGGTCGATGGATGACAATCAACGCAGTCGTTGTTTGCAGATGTAGTATCATCAAGATTCACATATTGTAAAGGCATGGTGATTAATGAAGAAAAATTAACGACCATGGCTTTTTTGGAGGTGAGAATCTTGATGATGCTGCATCAGCAATAAACGACTACCTAACTTACTGGAGCTGAGGTTACTAAACGAGCTATGAATTCAATAGAAAGTTCAGAACTCATAAATGTCAATCTTGGTTGTGCCTCTCCTAACCGGAGTACTTTCTTTTAAGGCTGTCACTCTAAGCAAAAGGAGAAATTCGGACCCCAGAAGTATAGTACGGTTTGTTCAGTTTTTGTGTAGATATATGGATTTTGCCTTGTTTTATTTTTACTGTATTTCAGTTCAGTACTGAATCAATGTTCTTGTCAGGTCGATCTGTTTTTTATTTTTATTTTTCATAATTTAACAGGTGAATTTGGTTTTTTGTTTTATTTTGAGACTGCTCACTGCTCTTTATGAAATGAGGACTGTGTAGATCTGTGATTATTCTCTCCTGGCAAATGAAGTTCTCATTTATTAAATGGTATCTCAGCCTGATAGATCAGAAGTTGTCTTTTCATCTCTCTCTCACTCACACACATAGTGCATGCTCTTTTTCTTGATGTAGTTGATTGAGTTATAGAAATATTACCATCATATTATTCGGTTCGATTTGTTTTTTTTTTTCTGTTTATTTAGAAAAATAAAAACCTACCCTAGCAAATTATTCAATATTGTTGGAGATTTTTATCAAAACCTTAGATTTTTTTGAAGAAAAATCTAATATTTGGTTTCATAAGATTCGATTCCGATTGATTTAGTCGGTTTTCGAAGAACTTTTGACACCCTATCTTTAAACCTGATATATTTTAGGTCTTCCCAAGGAAAAGAGTCAAAGGAGACCAACAAGGGTTGTGGTGGACAGTTTCGGTTTGAGCCTTGTGTATGGAGTCGCTGGACTCCTTCTCCTAAATCATATGTCTTGGGTTTGAGACTTTGACCCCTGGGTATGGAGTCGCCTTTGGTAGGGAACGCTTTAGCTCCCAATGTGGATTTTTCAGCACGAATCCGGATTTGATCCGCCCTAATACAAGTACTGAACATTGGTGGGAAACCCAAAAAAAAAAAGGAGCTAAGGGAGAGTTGGAGAAACCTAAAGAAAACTGAGAAGAAGAGGTGAGAATCAAAACCTGCTTATTTTCTTTTCTCTTATTATTTTTCCTAATCTTTTCCTCCATAAATTCGATAATACCTACACATTAATAAAACTGAAGAGCGCAGAGAAGTTTGAGTTGCTAAGTTTCTTTGTTTCAAGACAGAAATTCAAAATATAATTAAGTATTTCATGGGAAAAATCATCCAAGTGATGTTTTTGTCTGTTGAATCAACAAAAGATTTTATGTTGGAACTGCTGCTTTTGGATTTTTGTGACTTTAATTTGAGGGTATCATGGCGTACATGTCACAATTGTTATTATCAAGTTGGATTTTTCCTTGAAAGAGATTAACAAGTGTACTCATATTATATATATACATTTCTAAAAAAAATTATACGTATATATAATTCGAAATGAAAACAACTATTGTGTAATCATAACTTGCATTCTTCTGTAGGGCGTGGACCAAACGAGCATGCATATTTGGAAATCCTGTGAGAAACTCATCTAAAAACTGATTTTAGAATTAAATTGAACTTAATCAACTTGTTACCAGAATATTTTCTATATTTTCTCAATTACCAGAATATTTGGAAATTATTCAATTACCTGAAGTTTTCTATCTTTTTTATTTTGACATGGCTAACTTGATATTACAATGCCGGCCATATTTCTGTTTTGTGGTTTGTATATGCAGATTAAAGTAGGTAATGTGCCTCTATAACTGAGTATAGAATCCTGATATCCTTAAATTTTTAAAAGCCCTTTCTCTTTCCTTTTCTAATTGTTTTCCTCCTTTAGTGTTTTGCTATACATTTTAATGTATATTGGTGATGTACCTAGTTAATTACGATCAATGGCGTACGCAAGATTTTGTAGCGATGTTATAATTTAGAGAAATGGACAAATGAATAAATCACTATAATAACAAGCGGTGTCATTTTCTATACATATCCCCAAATTTTATTTTTATTTTTATAAATATTTAGTGAAAATTTTCGACCAAGCAGTGTCCCGTGACACCCCATAATATATAAGCCCCTGTCCTCAATTCTCATTGTGTTCTCCTTCCTCTTCCTTGATCGCCTATATAATGGAAGATTTTTTATAAGAATATATTAAAAACAATGTCGTGTTGTATGTTTTTTTTTTAAAAAATTAAAATCGCTATTGACTTTGTGTAGGTTTGACATAGATTCCTACCTTGTAAATTGATAACCATAAAATGAACACATGAAGGTGAGGAACATAAAACCGGACCTCCTCAAAAACTAAATGGGAGATGAACATGCCCATCTCTTTACAAATTTGTAGCAACGGCTTAATACTGTGGTTTGGTATACAATGATGAACCCATATGCAGGGCGGATGTAGTATTTTGCCTATGGGTTCAACATAACCGATAACTTTCGACGTCGAGTAAAAATTTATACGTAAAAATTCATTAAAAATGCAATAAAAAAAGTAGATATGAACTTATAACTTTAAAAATATAATGGGCTCAATGCCAAAACCTTAAAAGTTGAACCTATATATAATGTTTAAATCCTGGATCCGTCTCTGCCTATATGCTGATAGAGATCATTATTGGGGTTTTAAGTATATTAAATTCTTAAAAGAGGGTGAATGGGAAATGGAGAGAAATAAAAATTTTAAGTGAAATTTTAAGTTTCCCTCCTTGATGAAGGAACATTATGGGACTTAGAAGACGAAGAAGTTTTTTATGGGTATATAAGCAATTGCTCTTCTTCTAGCTCTTAAAGAGTTGATAAGAAGGCAAGCCTTGCGCCGTCATCGTCGTCGCAGCTTCGGTTTCGGTCAATTGATTGATTAATTTTTTGGACCAAATTTATTTGTTAATAGTAAAATATTAACAGAAATGTTATTAAATATTTATTTTAATAACAGAATATTAATATTAAAATAAATATTAATATTAAATCCAATCTTCAATTTTTCCTCTTTATTTTCCCTCTTTATTGTTGAGTAAATAGTCATTTATGTTATGACATTTATGCTATGACCGTTTTGCATAAACAGCCATTCTGAAGAGTTGCACCTCTTCAGATTTCAGCTCAACTTTGGCTATAAATACAAGTCTATTCTCTCAGAATTTCCATACGATTTTCTGAGTTTTTCTTCCTTCTTCTGCATACTTTTAACATCAAACAAAGCAACAGTAAGTGTGATTTGCTACTGAACTTTGTGTTCGCTGAAACACTAGGGTTTGAAGTACCACTACACCAGTGTATAATTCGTTCTAGGAGGGGATTAAATTTCTTAAAGAAACACTGTAAATTCAATAAGCTCGAATTGATTTTTATCTCTTTACATTTTCTGTTTATATGTTATTCTGTTTTTTCCAGAATTAGTTTACAAATACAACTTTCTAACAATCATATGGCATCTTGTAGTTTTATCTATTGTGATCATGAGTTCAAATATTTCTTTCAATTGCTTAATCTTGAGCTACTATGGTCTAAATTAACAATCAATTTTTTTCTCTAATATGCATGCAAGTTAGGAATTTTGACGGATTGTTGTGTAACACTATGCAGGTAATGAGAGAACCAATGTTTAAGTTAAAGGGCCTGTATATTTTCGTTAATGAAGTGTACAACAACAACCCAGTGTAATTTCACAAGTGGAATCTGTCACATTAATGAAGTATATTACTCCTAAATATTTACCATACGAAGTTACTTCTATTTCAATAGCTCAGTGGCCACCGGATTTAATTGTTACTTACTGCTCATGAAAATATCCGACCTATGCTATTGTTAAGTCATTCACGTATGATCTTTCTGATCTCCTTTCCTTTTATTCATCGGATTTTACATTGGCTTTGGACCAATGAAAAATGGAGTTGATGGTGTTGCTAAAAGAACGAACATGAATTAGTGATGGGCAAATTCTGTGGCTAAACAGAAAATTCATCGCTATCCTATTTAACGATTGATAAGCGACATATTATTAAAAAAGTTTATTATCTACGAACAATTTAATAATAGAGTATCGACAAAATTCATAGCTAATACTAGTATTTTTTGTAGTATTCGCTAAGAGTGAGGGAAAGAGGAGAGCCTCAAGGTACGCTTACTTTGTCATTTTTGTTTAAGTTATCGGTATTCTTAATCGATCTTTTTATCGGGGAGGATTTTTATTGGGGAGGAATAGTATGGGTTTCTTTTCAATTGTTGGATGATGTATACTAAGTCCGTATCCATATTCGTCCTCTTTCTAATCTTGAACCAGCCAAATTAAAGGATAGAAAAACCATCTCAATATTATTGCTTCTATCTTTAACATGCTTCAAGTTTTGTTCCTTTACAAATAATAAATGTATTATTCAACATCAATGTTCATCAAAAAGTGTCCGTAAAGTTGCTTTGGAGTGCATGGTAGTAGTACTTAAGGGGTCATTTGGTTGGAAGGAAGTTATCCCAGGATTAACTATTTTATTTTTCTACGGGGATAAAAGGAATCACTATAATTTCGGGATAACTAATCCCGGAATTAATTATATCACAATTTTCTCCCAATCAAATATGAGATGAACTCTTTAAATTTAATCCCGTGATTAATTATTTCTTATCCCTCATACCAAACAAACCCGAAGAATTTAACTTTTAGAACGTTTAAAACTATTTTACGCTACCAAGTCATCTAAAAGATAATTTCATATAACCATGATTAATTTTCACGGAAAATAGTTGTCACTCCATGCATTTCTATTTTGTTTTAAAATTCTCTTACTGGTTGTCATTGTGGATGTCACTAGTCACTATCAGTGGCAGATGTAGCATTATACTTGCGGGTTCAATTAAATCAGTAATTTTTGGGGGAGGGCGGGGAAACATAAATTTATATATAAAAATTTATTAAAATTATAAGAAGTGGAGTAGTAGATCTGAACTTATATTTTTAAAAAAAGTGATTTAATACTAAAACTCTTAAATGTTGAACCAGTAGAATTTAAATCTTGAATCCGCCCATAATCACTGCACCACATAACTAACTATAGCAGTAATAATGCCTACCATTTTTGAAAGTTATCATTGTTTAGTAGCTAAATGATATTTTTATCTCTTTTCTAGTGACTAAATCATCTTAATCACCCTTTACAAAGTAGAGTTATGTAATTTTAGATTCTCAATCAACCCCTTTAATCATACCACTTGTTGACTACTGACATGTAATTGCCCTTCATTCGCAGTCACATCACCTTTCAACTAAAATCACCCCAATTGTGTGAAACTGATTCACTGATTATTACTACTCCATTGCTTTCCCACTTTCCAGTTGTCGTTTTCTCTGAATAGAGAATATAAACTAGATCTTCCTTCTTATAATATGCAATATGCAACTCTCCAAAAATTCCCTACATCACGTTTAGCAGGCGTTTGGACATAAAAAAACAAATAATATTTGAAGTTAACTTGAAAAGATGATATTTGAAATTGGAAGTTATGTTTAAATATGTATTTCACTTGAAAAAATATTACAGTTTTGTGAGTGAGGAAAGAAACTTTTGCAAATTTTGAAAAAGTAGTCAAAATCATTTTTTGTCTTTTTAAACTTATTTTCGAGAAATTTTAAAATTTTATGGACAAACACATTTTTGATTTTTTTTTTTTTTTTTATAGACAAACAGGGCCTTAGTACTTCTCCCCCTTTCAAATCTCTATTTGCATAAAAACTCCATTTCACTCGACAGGAAATCTGATTCATCAATCCACTAGGTTGAATTAACATGTTTGTTTACCTAAAAAATGAGTAATAATTAAATTTGTACGCAGTTTAAAGGATAGGGCAGTCTGGTGCACTAAGCTTTCGCTATGCGCGGGGGAAGGGGGAAGGGTTGGACCAGAAGGGTCTATTGTATGCAGTCTTACCCTGCATTTCTGCAAGAGGTTGTTTCCACGGCTCAAACCCGTGACCTCCTGGGCACATGACAACAACTTTACCAGGGTCTATCGTACGCGGTTTAAAGGATACATGGTTTAATTCAATACGAATAATTAAGAATAACAAATAGATCAATTAAAGGCAAAATAAACGATCAAACCAATCGTGATGTAATGACCAAGCCTGATCTTAGATTGAACAGTGGGACTCGTACTCGATTGGATCCTCGGTATGGGCTCGATCGCGAGCGAACAAAAGAACAAATGAGTGATGCCTTGAACTGTGTAGCTAGGAGACATAAGTAAAATTTTATTGCCTTGAATTACGTGTTACCCTCTCTCAGACTAAAGAAAAACTTTCCCTTTATATAGTAGGAGAATTTCAGTCCTAATACAAGTCTAAAAAAAAGGTAAAAATCTAATTTTCTCGGTAATTATTGATCTATAACTGATACCGAACGTGATTCTAGCCGTAATATCCGGTTGAGGGCGAATATTATGGCCCCTTATCCATCATGCATAACCGTTCACCGCGTCACCCCAGGTTTTAGAAGACATACTCGATCCGGGATATGTCGTGTTACCGTGTTCGATCTTAGATACATCATTCATCCTTCAGCGTTCTCGATCCAAGGGGTTCCTGGCCTTGATTTTAATCACATTGAGCTGTGCTTCCTCTTCGTTCTCTTATCAAAAAATCGGGAAAAACNGGGGGAGGTCGGATATGGTTAGATCGAAAATGGGTAATGCTAAACAAATAAAATATATGATTCGACCCATATATTTGTGATGGATAATATGAATATCCATATTATCTATGGCTTCTTGAATATGATCATTTTTTGGAGAATTCCTAGTCTTATAAACTTAAGAAAATCTCAATTTGAATCTTTACAAATGTAAAAATTAAACTCATTGGTTACCACCCTTATCTCTTTTGAGTTTATGTTACGTGCATTGAAAATGTAAAAAAAAAAGAG